GCTGAGTTGGAGCGATGGCTCACATGCCCGCAGAGAGGGCTCTGCGTGCCACAGGTTCGCCATCACGGATCTAAGCTATCCTTACCTTTCCTTATTCTGCCTTGTTTGTGCACTGGCATTATTGTATTAGACACCCTCCTCTTTATGTCTTCCTTATTAAATAAGACTGGAGCATTTCAAACATTCGGGGGGGCTCAATTCAGGTCACTTACTCTTTATATATATAGTTTTAGCTTGTAGGGCTTACACTCTGGTGTACACTTACCAAATGCCTTGTTCCCGTTAATAGTGTTGGTTATATACTTATCAAATATTAAGGCTCTAAAAGTTCAAAGATTTTACAGTACTTACAAAGATGAAGCATAATTTAATAGTGTCTCCCTCGTGAAAAGAGGAAATGTATATTTTTACCCTGTAAAAAACAATTTTAAGAAATCTGAAGATGCACTGCCATTACTAGTATTAGTATTAGTATTAGCATTAGTAGGAGTAGGAGTAGTACTTCTAATACTATTCCTGTTATTGCCACAGTGCTGAACTGTCGATAGATTTTTAGTAAGATTCATCAGTTTGCTTGGGTTTTGTAATATTTTTAGGTTTAAAATACTATCATAAGTTAAAGATTGCAGCCTCTTTCATACTTGTTTCTGACTCCAGGGCGTGGGGCTCATCTCCATTTCAAAGCCGAAGAGCCAGCACTGTCAGAAGACGTCTCTGTGGTCACGTGGCTGGCATGACTAAATGCCGCAGGCGCACAGAACGCTGTTACCTTTCCCACCAAAGGTGGTTCCTATTTTTCTACTTGCATTTTTATATGCTTTCAGACTGCTAGGTTGGCAGAAGCTGGGACAAAGTAAAGGGAGCTCACTCCGTTACGTGGCGCTAGGGATTTGAACCACTGAACTGCCGACCTTCTGTTTGACAAGGTCGACATCATAGCCACTGAGCCACCATGTCTTTTCTTTCATAGTTAATTTCCAGCTAAAATGGTAGTGAGTGGCAACAACTTTTCAACATCACAATTTTGAAGGGCTTGATGGTGTTGTCCTTCTCCTTGATTTCTATCATCAAACATGGAATTGGTTTTTTTTTAGGCAATGATATTCATTAAATGGAAGTTTTTAAGAAGAAGAGATTGAACAGCCATTTGCCCCGAATGGCATAGGGTCTGCTGCTTGGACAAAGAATTGAACTTAAAGACCTCCAAGGTCCTTTCCAATTCTGATATTCTATGTTCTAAATTCCCAGTTTCCTGTCACATGATATGAGAATTTTAAGTTGCTGCTTTGGGTCCCCAACCAAGTTTTTATTAGGTCCCTTAATGCTGCCTTGTTCTTTATGGTTTCACAATAAGAAATCTTTTTGATACCTCAGTTGTGGTTGAGTGGCAAACGATGTTTTATTTCCATCAGCTTTGAATATCCGTCATTTGTCCTTTGAAAAACTCTTCACAGTTTTCATTGTTGGAGGGGAAGGAATCCATGCTGTGTGTGAGACAGATCAGAACTAGTAATGAAGATAAATTAGGAAGAATTCCCATCAGAGGGAATTCCCATAAAAATAAGTACGAGTAGTGCTTGACTTACGACCACAAGTGAGCCCAAAATTTCCATTGCTAAGCAGGTTCATTGTTAAGTAAGTGTTGGCCCATTTTATGATTTCTTTGCTGCAGTTTAGTGCTGTTGTAACTTCAAATGGTCACTAAACAAATGGTTTATTTAGAAGGAGAACTTCCTTTGTAAATTGAAATAATTTTCTGAAAACCCCTTTAACTTGGATTTTCAGTTTGCACTCTCTCTCTCCCCCCACTCCTCTCTCAGTTTTGCTAAGTCGACAACACTTGTCACAGAGTGCCAATAATCACTGGGACCATCATATACAATTTATACCAAAATCTTTCAACTTTGATACTTTCTAGTCATCTTCAATTCTTTTGCTTCTAGTCTATGAACTTTTTTTTAGAGATGTGTTGGCTCAGTGGCTAAGACGCTGACCTTGTCAATCAGAAAGATCAGCAGTTTGGCGGTTCAAATCCCTAGTGCCACGTAACGGAATGAGCTCCCATTACTTGTCCCAGCTTCTGCCAACCTAGCAGTCGAAAGCAGGTAAACAATACAAGTAGAAAAATAGGACCCACCTTTGGTGGGAAGGTAACAGCATCCCATGCGCCTTCGGAGTTTAGTCATGCCGGCCACATGTTCACGGAGACGTCTTCAGACAACGCTGGCTCTTTGGCTTTGAAACAGAGATGAGCACTGCCCCCTAGAGTCGGGTACGACTAGCACATATGTGCGAGGGGA